ATTTTTTTTAAAATAAGCAGTCTAGAAGATGACAAAGAAAGAAGAAAAATGCATAGTAAGTGGGACAAATAGGAAGTAGTTAGTAAGATGATAGGTTTATACCTAAATATGTCAGTAATCACATTAAAGTAAACGAATACTCTAAGTAATAGAGTCAGGATTTAAAAATGAAACTTAATTATGTGTTTCCTAAGACACATTTAAAATATAAGGACACAGAAAGTATAACAATATGAAAAAATGTAAATGCAAACAATAGCCAAAAGAAAGTTTGTGTTGATGTAACAGTAACAGATAAAGAGCACTTCAAGGAAGCTCAAAACAAACAAACAAACAAAAACATAAAGCAAAATTTATGCAATTTTAAGGAAAAATAGACAAATTAAAAATCACTATAGGAGATTTTCACACTTAAACTGAGTAAGCAGACACACATACATATAATTCTGTAAGGACATAGAACAGTGCTTCTCAAACTGTAGCATACATAAATAAGAATGATCTGGAGAGCTGTTAAAATACAGATTCTGGGCCCCATTCCCAGAGGTTCTGATTCAAAGTGTCTGCAGTGGGCCTGGAAATTTACAACTCCTGGATTTATAATGATGCTGATGGTTCTGGAACTACGCTTTGGAGTAGCACAGATATAGAAGATTTTAACACCACAATTAGCAGACTTGACCTAATGAACATATATAGATACACCACATTCAACAACTGCAGAATACACATTCTAATTTTAAGCACTTACAGAACATTTTGAAAGTTGACTATATTCTGGGACATAAAGCACCTCTCAATAAATATTAAACAATTTTAAACAGAGTTTATTTTCTGACTACGGTGGAATTAAACTAGAAATCACAAACAGATAACCAGAAAATAACAGATAACAAACTTCCATATGTTTGGAAATGAAGCAATATAATTAAGCAATATAACCCCTGGGTTAATGAAGAAATCACAATGGAAATTAGAAAATAACTGAAGGACAGTGAAAAGATAACATACCAAAACTCATGGGATGCAGCTAAAGCCATGTTTAGAAAGAAATTTATAGCTTTAAATACATATTATATGTACATGAATGTGTGTATGGTATGTATGTATATACTGTACATATCTATATATGTGTTCATGTATATACATATGTGTGTGTATGTATATATGAAAGGCTGAATATTAGTGAGCTAAGGGTACATTTCAAGATATTAAAAGACAGTAAATTAAGCCAAAAAATGGAAAGAAAGAAATAGTAAACATAAGTGCAGAAATTAACAAAATTGCAAAAAGAGTGCATTACAGTGCAACAAAACCAAGTGGTTCTTTCAAAAATCTCTATTTGAGAATCTTAGTTTCACTCTCCAAAGGCAATTAACAGTGTTTTATATATTTTTTCTAAACTATTTCATGATCTACCTGTTCTTTTCAGATATTTATACTGAGCCATAATACACACAGTACCCTTAAATTAAAAAAAAAAAAAAAACAATATACCTTGGGAAAATTTTCAGTATTTTGGCTCATGGATCCATCTCATTCTCTTATTCTTTTTTCTTTTTCCCCTTCCCCTTCCTCTTCTTCCCCTTATTCTCCTTCCCCTCCCCTCCCCTTCCCTTCTTCTTCCCTTCCCCTCCCCCTCCCTTTCCCCTCCCCTTCCCCTCCCCCCCCCCCCCCTCCCCTCTCCTCCCCTCCCCTCCCCTCTTCTCTCTACCCTTCTCTTTTTTCTTTTTTTTCTTTCAGATCTTGCTCTGTTACCCAGGCTGCTGTGCACTGGCACAGTCATGACCTTGAACTCCTAGGCTCAAGTAATCTTCCTGCCTCAGTCTCCTGAATAGCTAGAACTAGAGGCATGCGCCACCACCCTGGCTGATTTTTAAATTTTTTTGTAGAGGCAGTGTCTTGCCATGTTGCTCAGACTAGGCGGAAACTCCTGGCCTCAAGCCTCTCAAAGTGCTGGGATTACAGGCATGAGCCACAGTGCCCCACTGGTGCTGCCCTTTCATATCATGTATTTTGATAAACTATTACTTTAACTTCAGATGACTGTATGTTCGGTGTAGGAAGGCAGAGAAGTCAATCAAACTCTGCTCCAGGACTATTTAGTAGCAGTGTGACATTGAGCAAATTATTTAATGATCCATTTTTTATCTATAAAATGAGAAAAATGATAATTTCCTTAGGGGATTCAGGGGCTGATGAGATCATGTATGCAGAGTGCCTAGTACAGGGCCTGGCATCTCATGAGTGTTCATTAAATGCCAGTTGTCATCCATTCAACCTACATTTTCTTGCTGGGCATACAGAGTCTTGTAAAGGATCCAAAAGAAAGGGGGAACAGAGGCTCTGACATCCAGCAAACTAGCGTGTTAGGTGTTCACAGGCTCCCTAAAGGTGAGAGCTAGGGAGGGGCATGAGGGTGTGTCTGTTTTTAGTCTTCTCTAATGGACCTACTTTTGATGTATTCTTTACTCCAAAAATGCAGGAGATTCATTTTTGGTGAGAATTAATTATATATGTTGAAAGCATGCTATACTTTTTGAGGATAGGTATACCCACTTTAACAATTAAATGAAATTTATCTGGATTTTTAAAAAGAAAAGAAAACTACAGTGTGTATATGGCAAGGAGTGGTGTTTGAATAAATAAATGTTTCCCTTAAACAAGAGATGTGACTATAGAATTCCTTTTCATAGGGCACTGAGTACATGTTGATGTTTTTATTTGCAGGGATTAGATTTACACGAAACTTGTCAGGACAAAAGGTCTGGCCCATCGTTATTTGGAGTGCCCTGTGCGTTCATTCTGAGATTCTGCTGTGTTGCCTGGGAGATGACTCCACCTTTCAGTGTAGTTGATGGGAGGCAGTTCCACAGTTGTGATGTCAGTGTTTCAAAATCTGTCAAAGAGCCTTTCCATAGAGCCAAGAAAGAAAACTATTCAGTTGTATACCTACCATGTTTTTTTTTTTTTAATGAGAGAAATAACTTTAAAGAAAACAAGTCCTTAACTGTAAACGTTGTCTGTGGTAATTTAGATGCACCCCTCAGCACGTGTTTTAGGGAGTTGAACAGTGTCATCCATTTTCTGTATACTGTGGCCACAACGCTGACGTTTTATATACTTTTGCAGATGAACCTCTTTGTGAATGTCATGAGCAGTTATCAGTCTATCATGCAGAGTAGAAAGGGCAAAGCTGAACTGTAAGGGTGTCAGCACATTATGGCAATAAAATTTTTCACAGCCTTAAATTAAAAAATACGGTACTTGACAAGTGAATCTGTTTTAAATTATTTCAAATGCTATTTCAATTTGTTCAATTCTCCCATTAGAAGTGGGATGTTTTCCAAAAGTTGGTTTTCAAGTCAGTTGTTATAAATTTGGAACTTCTTTTGTTTTCCTTTTCTTTTCTTCTTTTCTCCTTCCTTCCTTTTCTTTTCTCTTCTCTTCTCTTCTCTTCTCTTCTCTTCTCTTCTCTTCTCTTCTCTT